GGGACTAGGTCAGTATACAATACGCTTTGTGTACTTACTTCTGAATAAAAACGTGTGTAAATAAACGTTTACCACTCAGTACATAACAAACTCATGTACCTACATACTAGTACGTTGTTTTAATGGTTCAGTGGATTTATAACGAATGTTGTAACTTTGTTACATTGCAGGAAAAAAGTACTACGCTAACGGGATTCCCAAAAGTCTTCTATATAAAATAACAATAGATAATCTCCGACCTCGTTGAGGACACCAAATTAGTGTTCAGTAGAGCCATGTTAATTAGTTCAGGGCCTCGGCGCGGCCTGCACTGTGCACACTGTGTACCCCGCTTTACTATGGAATTATTTTACTTTATCGTGCATTTTTCTGTTTTATACTCTCGACGTTTATAGCGCATGTTTTATCAAACATCATGCCTATCTGACTTGGAAATAACGTATTGAATTCGATCAATTCGATCGACTTCAGGTTAAACTCGCTATTGCATCTGACGATGCCGATTTCCGATTCGAAACACAATTTCATCTAAAACATTTTAAAGAATATTCCGAATAAGTTATTTGAGCAAGTTGTTCATTCGTGACAGTTAAAGCGAGTTTATTCATATCAGACCTACTCCCACTGTGTTTTTATAATAACTAAATTAACTCGTGAATAAATTAAATTAATAAAAATCGCAGACTGCGCACGCTGCTCATGAGGAAGAACCCCTCTGTGGTTCGAAACTAGTAGAGCTTTTCTCAGTATATTCACGTGAGTAACCCGCGATGTTTAGTTAATTTTGTTCCTGTTCCGATCCGTTTTGTAAAATATCCGTAAAATTTATTGTTTAAGACGTCACATATTTTTATAGGAGTTTTTGTGTCGATATGATATGATTGAATCATTGGCTGCGGTGGCTCGACGTCAATACTCTAGGTTAGTAGACACTGGAATGACAATAGGGTTTTCCCCAACACCGGCTCACTAATTCTTTTCACTTTACCCAACCCAATTAATTGAACTTTGATACATTACTCACTTAGAACACCTAAAGTCACATAGTCCTCGATACTATCACGTAGAAGCTGGTAGGTACACAATGATCCGTCCAGTCCTCGGATTCGTTTTTCCCACTCTACGTCGACGAGTGACAAACTGCTTTGTCAAACTTCAATTCCGTCGTCCGTGCTCAAGTGAATTATTGTCAAATTTCTAGACGTCACTTCCAGTATGTAAGGAATGAGGATTTGTGGGTTGAGTAGAGATTTTTGCATACACTATTATTTAAGATTCACTGTAAGCCACTAGCTAAATATGTCTTAGTAACCTAGACCTTTAATACAGAATAATGTTTGTATGTATGTATGTATGTATATTAGTCAATACTAGGAGCTGCCCCATGTCAGCTGGGCCCTCACAGTAAACTGTAGGTATACGACATAACACCTCCCTATAAGTCACGTTGTGTTTGCCCTTCTGGGATCCGAAACAGTTACGTTGGCAAGTGCCGGGTCATCGAGGCTCAGTGTTTATGTTTCGTGAGAGGATCATGGTCCTATTTGTAAATGTTGCTTCACGATAACGTTTTGCTCATTTGTTTTATTAATAAGTTCATGCCAATACAGATCCTCTTATAGAAATAATTGCAAATAGTCAGTGGGCCCATTTCAGTTTTCATTTGTGGATGGCTCATGGCTAAATATTAATTGGCACTCCGTGTCCTCGACAGATGAGCTAATTACGAGTGCTATGCAGTTCCCATGGCTAGGCCCAGTAGAGGTGGACTGTCAGTGTGGGCCTCGTCAGCGGGGCAGGCGGCAGGGGGCGGCCGGACCGACAGCATTCCGAGCGTGACTCAGCCGGACGCGACCGCGTACCTAACTGTCTTATAAATTCATTTTAGCCATTTTGTCCTACAGCGTCATCATCTTTGAGGAAGTTCTTAGTTTTCGGTACGAAGAGTTTGTTGAAGATTCTGACTCATACCTTAATAAATGTAGATTTGCAATTTGACGTTTGTCGAATGAATTAATGATGTTTACATTTATCGAGATAAAAGTGTTACAGGATATAAACTAACAAAAAACTTTAGCGTCGTCAAAGTAAGATACGTAATGAAATTAGACTGAACGTTTTGTAATGCGTATTCAACTAAACAAAGAAAAAACTAGAGGGAAGCAGGTAACATATTGGGCACCTTTACCGCAGCAGTAAGCTACAGTGTGGCGCCGCAAGCTGTAAGTGGTCGCGCATCACTATCCGACGGAATGTGTAAGGCACGACATGTTTGTAGGCAACTAGGCACAATGAGAAAGATAACAGTTAGGGATAGACTAATCTAGACCTCAACTTAGAACTAAATATGATTTATTAAATGCATTTTCGAAAATAGTTACAGAATTTTGTCGTGAAATCCTTATTATGTTTAGCTACTCACTAAACTGCCAAGTTACAAACTTACAACCTATACTTAAAGAAAGTAGTTAAATACCAAACAAACAACAGCCGTCTGCAGTAGTTCACTGAAACTACGTATAGACCAATTACCAGCACTTGTGTAAATATATTTTACCCAAATGTTAGTAGTTTCTGGTAAGTGGAACACATGATCAATGGCGCCATCATTATTATTTTATAGAAGTATAATATAGTAGGTACATACAATTACAACCTGGAAGCTGTAGGCGACATCTCCCCTATCACTAGTAATTTGCGCAATTTTTATAATGAAGGAAAATGTACAGCTGTGCAATAACAGATTAAGTTTACTTATCATGGTTGCTTATTAGTGTGTTTATAACTATAAACCTTTTACTTAGATAGTAAATAATTAAGTACTAGTAGGTAGAATGAGTAAGAACAGCTCAGAACAATAAAACGGAACGAAGAAACTGTTTTCACAGAAGTCTGGTCACTGTAGTGCATGAACAAACGTATGGTGCGCGCGTCGCGCGTCGCGCGTGTTGCATCCGCTGACTGTGATTTGTTACAAGCTTTTAATTTATCATATTTACTAGGAATTTATTTGTGAGAAACGCAATTCAAATGAATTACATTAACAGATAAACATCAAGAATTTGTTTCAAATTATGTGTTAATTGGCACCGCGGAGTTAATCTCATTCATATTATTCACATACATTTTAAGAATACTCGTGTGATTTAATGAGTCTATAAAAATACGTCGAATGTTCATTCATAACTGTACACGCTGCCGCAGCAGGCGACTCATGGCCGACGACCATTGGCCATACAATACACGGGACTATTCATTATAAGAAGCTGGCAAATTACATCCTAATTACAACATAATTAGCGTCATTTTTAATTAACTTTTAATTACAAGTAGAAAGAGGATTCGTTGATTGATTACAAATATCTTGACATTATATTGTACCTACGCTAAATAGCCGCGAATATCGTCTTCGTAAATATAGAACAAAGCTACACGCGTTATCTACCACACATGCTAAGCTACCCTTTATATTACATACAAGATACCACATTATATTTAATGGAGGACAGTCACAAGAAGTGTAATATCAGGCTGAAACTAGATTCTCGTATGAAAGAAATAATGTTTAGTAGTATCGTGTGCCGAGTGGCAGTCGGGTCACGTATTTGATTGCCTTCCCGACAGCTGCCAGCCTCCAGCATCCCTCCGAGATCTCGGGCTCGCAGCCACTTGACACTGATAATATGAAAACGATACTGACTACATATTATCAGTTGACAGCGACGAGACAATGATATACTGACACTTCTAACGATCACGAGGGATATACAGAAGCGATCTATTAGGTACCCACCGATTATATTTGTTCCTTAATATTTGCTCTCACTTTATACTAAGCTACAATAGTTGGAAAAAACAATGCATTGCTATTAAAATACACAGCAAAACTCATTGTCTCGACTCAAACAATACAAAAACAAGCACTCACACGACAACAGCACCAATTTAGATACGTCGATAATGATACCTTCGCGCAATATCAATAAAAATATCTCGAGAATGATACTTGAAATATTGAGTGCAAGAACATTAAGATACGACCGCATTCCGGCACGGGCCCGGCGCCCGGCGCCCGGCGACAGGAAAATAAGTCGGTGCACTTTCTCAGGCGCCGGGAAATACCGCACTCCGTCATATTACCTTTATCAAACTATTTGATCTTGTACACTGGGCCAACTATAGCGCTCCACAGGTTCCCTTAACTTTATTTTGTATCAACATGTTTTATACAATTACGTCCCTCACAGTTTTTTTTATATAAATTAATGCAAAAACGAAGAACCGTCTACGAGAAAAAATGTTCATAAAAATAGTTGAAATAATTCTTTGATGTATTACCTACTGCTACAGGTAATGAAACAATGAAGATGTCAAAGGCGACTGACTTCAAAGTATGTGGACAGAAGGAATGTTTAATAAGACGGGAGAGCTTTTCATTAAAATATATTTTTGTGTAGCGAAGCCTCCGCCGCGGTGTTCGTGTCTACATAACGACCGTCTCGAATGTTGCGTGAAGATATAAAACTATATCCTGATTAGGTTCTAGTCAGACGTGAGAACTGAGTGACGTCATCACATATGACCTTCGATTCCATCGCATGACTCAACTAAACATAAAAAAACGGTACGCCACACCGGCTGACGATGCCTAATATTTATTTAAAAGGAAAATAAACAAATGGCGGTATAATTATATACCTACAGAAATAGTATATTTTATTACATTTAATTTGCGCATCAATATTGTTATTATCAAAACAAGTTGTTATTTGCAAATTGAACTGGTTTTTGAATTAAAGGACGTAGGACCGCTGGGATTATTGACTAATTAATCCTTTACAATGATTTTATTTTGTGGTAAGTCTACGTATAAGAAGGATGCGTCTTATTTTTGTATTTTAATTAAAAGAATGACTAAATATCTTATTATGCCCCAATCCTATCAAAAGTCTATAAAAAATTATAAATCATGTCGTACATTGAAATAATATTTAACTTACCGGCTCGACAGAGAACAACCATGCTGAGCGATGCCAGCAAGAGGAACGTGTGTCTCGTCGGCGCCATGTCGCCTCGCGATCTGCAACAACCAACAAACAAATGTCAGCATACGACTAACCTTGTCACTGCATTTATTAGGGCGAAAGGCTTCGGATAATTGATCAACAACAGTGTTATCTGAATGTCTGACAGACGAAATATTTAGTCTAAAGAAAAAGCAAGCTCACAAGACTATCTGAATTCTAAATTGTTTTCCCTAAGTAAAAACACCCACTACGTATGCTGTTGGCATTTCTGCCTGCTATCACGTAGTTTACAAGGCAATCAATCGCCAAGTAAGAGCGCTAAACAAAAATGCATATCAGGCGCATCGCAAAAAGCGGCGCCTGCGCAGCGTCGCGGTCGACGACCTAACTCCCGCGCAATCACATCCCCTAGATCAGCCTCCGTAATATTACTCGAGAAAAAAGCCTGTTTGATGATCATTGCACAAGAGCCAATGCCCTGAGCCAGTTTAATAATAATAAAACTACGCCATTTTGTTTTTGTAGATACGTATAGGCACTGTGCATAACTATGTTTTACCTACGCTTTTTATTTTTTTGCAATAAGACGCGGAGGACGGCTGCAGCTTGTAATATTCTAAAAATACTATTCATATAACTATTGATTAAAAATAGGCGAGCTAGGAATAACATAACGCGACGCATGAATAACGTAACACCCTATTAGGACATCGAGCCACGTAAACAGAATACAAAAGCAGCACCTAATTCACTAGCAGACGATTGGACAATTACATGTGCAAATAATACATTAACGACTGCAATCACTGGCCACTTACTACAAGTAATGGCGGCATTAGCATCAGTAAACGGTTTGAACACAAATACTTAGAATCAATCAGATTACCGTCCCCCGGGCCGGGAGCCAAGCGGCTCAATAAATAAAGGACGACACCCACTTATCGTCATCCATCCACCCACTGTCCCATTCTGGGAGACAAATGTCCCCCGATATGGGAACCATGTCACATTAATGCCATCCTCGCACTGGACCGTAACCACTCAGTGACTCGCGCGAGTCCCGCACCTATTGCACACGGAGTAAGTAACGACTCGTTTACGAAGAGCTACTGACTCACGTCTTATAAGGAAAATTTAACTAATATTCAGACGCAATGGGCGCAGCCACGTAATCATTCTAGAAGATTGCCAAACTGTATAAGGACGCAAATTTCCCGAGTACCTAGTAGTTAATTTAATTAAGGAATGAGTACTCATTACGTAAAAGTTTTACTTTAATATTTTATTACAGTTTATGTACCTAGATTGGCATCGCCTTGTACCGAGTGCATACCAATATTATCAATATCATTAGGATTAAGTACACGAGCAGTACGGTGCTAGTGAACCAGCACCCTCATTGAGACAGTTGTCCAGAGAGCGCGGCGCGCGGGTGGACGACCGCGCAAGTGATTGATCAATCGCATCGTATCACTCTCAATAGGATAATGGTTGCCCTGCTCCGTTACCTCCCGACGCGCCCGACGCGACGTGGCCACCGTGCGAACTGCTCCCTGGGAACATTCCGCCGCTCGCACCGACATACTGCCGTTATGTGACACTCCTGTTATATACTACTTTACTCGTTGTTTGTTCTTGAGGAAATCTTTCGTACCTCCCTAAAAATATACCTTGAATCACCAAGTTACTATGAAGGAAAACTTTTGTATAACATATATTTCAGGGAATGTGAGAACAGTACCTACAACTACATAGAAGAAACGAATCGTTCAATATAACCACAACTAGGCAACTTTACTTAAAGGAAAACACTATTAAAACTTGTACGATTTCTTTGAAGTACGAGAGAGCTTTTATATGTTTTATGTTAGGAACTCGAATGTTTTATTTATTGTGAGAGGTTCATGAATATTTTCTCTTATTGGAACTGTTGACACTGAAATAGTAATTTGATAGCAAACATATACACGTATTGAGAACATACTGAACAGCTGTCAGGCTGCTGGGACAATACTTACGGTGTAGTAAGTGGCTGCTCAGTGCGCAGTGCCCACTGTACGGTATTGTTGTGGCACAGCTGAGCAAATGTTGCGGCGCTCCGTGATTTATATAGAGAGGCACACTCGTAATGGCAATTTCAATTACCATTTATTTTGTAAAATAATACGTACTTCTTTCATTATACCTACCAAGAATATTTTCAAAGATTTGAATATACTTTTGTCCGATAAATGAGTACCCAACATCCTAATAATTACATAAGTAAACTCTCAGGTTTCTCCATTCGTCTCGGAAGTTGGACGACAACAATAGATTTACATAATATCTTCAGCGAGCTCAGCACTCGACAAGTACCAGCATAGATCGTGCGGTGGGCACAAAGCGACCATCTCCTCATTACTTATACCAACACTTTACAGATAATCCTCTTGTGCGGCGTTACATGAGTGGCGCGGGCGCACGTCACCAGACACCGGACGCGAAAGTAAAAACTTACACAGACAGACAGAATTAGCCACTACTACAGTTCCTATGTATATAGGTAGACATAGAGACATTGTGGAACTAGTAGTCTGGTTATATACCGTGATGCTGGTGATTATTTTGATGCACTGCATATAACAGTGTATTTTGATCAGCATTATGTCACTTTGCTGCAAAGCCTCAGGCTACCTCCATAAGACGTGCGTCTCTCTAATGAGGATTACGACGTCAACAACTTTGTAATGAAAATTAAAAACTACCGCATTTGAATGACTTTACGTTGTTGTGTAATTAAAGTGAAGTCTGCGTTGAACAGGAAGTCGGTTTAATATTTATATTGATTACTAACTCTTGCCAGCAGCAGACACTAATGCAATTAAATCACAATGCAGCAATGTTGCAAAATGTACAACATAAAGTTAATATCAAAGACAGATGTGTTTACAGAGCAGCGCGCGACTAATACAAGCAATAATTAATAAACACATTATGCAATTGTTTACTATAGTATTGTAAACATATTGATATTTTAAATAAACAATCATGACAATATCTATTAATACCAACAGTCAATGTTTTAGAGCCGGTACAAATATGTGGTGTAGCACCTTTCTAATGCAAATACCGCGTGTGATACGGACCTCATCATCAGTCAGTGTCGCGCTTTAGATAACAGACCTGTACTGATCTACTGATAACATACCAACTACATTAGAATATATCCAGTCATTACTGATCTTCAGTCTTGTTTAACTGCAAATTTCACAACACGACAAATACACTAAACTTATTAATACAGCTCAAAGTTCTTAGTCAACTAACATAATGATGCTAAGTAACACGTTATGAACTGGTTCAATGTTGCCAGGTATCGAACAAACATCATTTCGGCACAATACTCGTCATTACCACGGCTCGAGTAAAAACTGCGAAAAATACTTCATAAAGATATTAGAAGGTGTTCGCGTCACTCTCCGCGATAACTATTATAGCGTACCTACGTAAGATTCACAAAAACTAATTGTTTAGCAAAAAACTTTGAAAACATTGACGACTTTTTTCTTTACAACTTCTTAAAAATTGTTTAATGTTCATCGTTCATGCTTGTATGTGTATAGAAACGTATAAACGCTAACAATATAACTGAAACGATTAAATATAAATCTTGTTACAAAGGCATTGCAACTCAAAGTTGTTTGAGTTAGAAATCAATAGATGTTTCTAAGTACTACTTTATCTGTGTTTCGGTGTTCAAGTAAATTTTACGTCAAATTAACTCATGATTAGTAAGAGCGCGCGACGTTTGATAGAGCTCAGTGCACGTTATGCACGGTGCACGGTACACTGTACATTAATTACGCAACTTTCATTATCGCCAACCGCACAATTATCGATAAATACGCGAATCGATTGTAAAATAATCGATCGTTGTATCAATTAGCACTCATTGCGCTGTTTTGTTTAAAACAACTGTTTGCGGTAATAACGATTTTCTTGTGCAATGACTTGTGACGTACGGAATAGTTGGCAGCCACCTCGTGTACTGTAGTGACACGTTAGCGTCGACTTCGAACCCAATTGACAAATAGGTTTCACTAGAATTGTATCATCATTATCAATGTATGAACTAGGCTGAGTTTATTAGCTGATTGATCTGTAACCGTCGGCTCAGGCAGGCAAGTGGTCACCGGCCTTAATATTGCACAAGTCCGTTGACCCAATAATAAAGTATTGTATTGTAGCTGTGAGCTAGCGGTGTTGCTGGCGCCACTGTTTACTATGGACAATCAAGTGTCGGCGCCCCGAACACTTTTTGTCGATCCCAATTCAGAATTTTGATTATAAATTGCGGTTTGTAATTTTTTGTGGCGATGGCATGTTGTGAGGACGTGCGTGATCGCTCGACCGTCCGAACAACAGGTGCCATGTAATTGCGACTTGTTCGGTTCGAGTCCATTACGCTGCGCTCTGGAATAACATGAATATATAAATGATTGCACTGTCAGAAGAACTAGACAATATTTGCAATGTGAAAATTACGGCCGAGTTTGAATGAAACATTGGTAAAGTTACTTACAAGGAACTTCATGAATGATTTTAGGTTTACGTTTTCTTAGTTTTCAAATATATTGAATATCGAGACAAGCCGGTGGACAGTCGGATCATCGCTCTCAACGGTACGTGTAGTCCGGCCGAGTCCGACATGACACCGGCCGCGCCGGCGCTCTGCAAATATTGACCAGCATCTAACCCGCATTCCTCGCGAACTGGGCGCGTGTTAACTAACATACAACCTTGCTTGTATGGAGTGTGTTTTGTTACCTTTGTCCTATTGAGGAACCCATAGGAAAAAATGCCTTCCACCATGTAGAATTTTGAATTAATAGCATAAGGTAAACTGTTTCCTAAATACAGCAGCATAGAACTAATTTCAATTTAATTGATTTTATAATCAATGCTAAAATGGGTGTGTCCAATCTGTTAAAAAAACTTGCATTTTTATAAGAGAACAATTTGATGACGTAAATTATAGACAACGAGTAATATTACAATATTTTCGAATATATTC